CTCCTTACCGTCTCGCACTTTGCCACCCGCGGAAGAGTCGGCGTCCTTCGCCGAGGTCGGTTTCGTCGACTGCTTTTCTTTTCGTGGTTGGTTTCCTTAACGCGGACGACGGCTGCCAGAACTTCCGCGGCCTCCCTTCGCGTCGTCGTCGTCGGAATCGCTGCGGTTGGGGCACTCGAAGGAGAGGTGATCGAGATCGCCGCACAGCCAGCATTCCCGACGTCGACCTCCTCCTCCACGACCGCCATCCTTGGACGACTTCTGCTTGTCAGCGTCCTTCGTCGGCTTCCCGCCACCGCGGTGACTGCCACCAGACTGCCCGCGCTGTCCCGGGCGACCACCTCGCTTCGCGGGGGCTGCGAAATTTACTTGCGCGAGGAGCTCCTGGGACCGCTCAGCCTCCTGAATTGCCTCGTCCTGCAGGATGTACGAGGTCAATGTGTCCTCGTTGAGCGTCGCTCGCGTGCTCGGCGCCATCGACAGCTGCTTCAGCAGGTTGTAGCTGCTCGGGAGTCCTTGCATGACATGCGTGACCTACGAAGCCGTCAAGTATTGCGCGCCAGCCATCCGTATGGTGGCAAGAATTCGCCGAGCTCGGTTTCAGTAGTCAGTCGCGGTCTCCTCGTCGCCCATACGCAGGTTCGTCAACTGCCCCTCAAGCTGGGCGATGAACAAGTCGTCGGTGACCTGGTAAGTTGACTCGATGAAATGCCACGCCCGGTGGCCAGCGTCGAGGTACTCCCTGCACGACTTCAGGGCGATCTGTACGCCCGGCGAGCAGCACCGCAAAATGACCGTAAAGGTCAGCAGCTGCACGGCGCGAAATTCCGCTCGCATGTCGGGGTAGTGCTCCTTCGGCGTCGCCACGGTTCCGTGGGCGAATCCCATCAGCCCGGCCATCTCCAGCTGGGGCTCGATGGCTTCCTTCCACGTGAGGATGTCGGGACGACCGACCAGCAGAGGGGTGACCGAGATCCCGTCCGGCGTAAACTTGAAGTAGCCGTAGCTCGGCGCAATTCCTCCCGCGGTCACGTGTGTCGCCGACATTGGCGCCAATTCACTTTGTCTGCCTCCGACGTAATTTCGCAGGGCCCCTGCAGCAGCGGAGGACTACATCCCTCGCGCCTGAACGTCGCCGACTTCATCGGCGTGAATCACACCTCGCTGCCTCAATGTGCCTCCCGCGCTGCTGCCGACTTGGCCACCACCCGTGTTGACGTCCGCGTCGACGCCGCCCGCGTTGTTCACTGGTCGAGGAGACGCAGGCCGAGAGAGAGGGTGCTCCGTCGCCCACAACGAGCTGATGCCAGCCTCGACGACCGTCCAGGGGATGTCGCCATACTCGTTGGCCTCGTGCTTTCTCCTCGCGTTCTCCAGCCGTGCCTCCAGGGTGTCCACTACCCCTCCGTCACCTACGACTCCTACCATAGTGACTACCGCACAGCTGCCGGTCTACGAACAAGCTAGGTGAGTGAGAAGTCAGCTAAACCGAAGGTTTCGTCGCGGTGTCGTCCACGCTCACCGCACCATGCGGAGATAACTAGTGCAACGGGAGCTAGACTACGGGCTAGGCACGGGGCAAGAGTGATTGTAGCGTTCGTTTGTTCCTTAGTCGTTTCCAAGTGCTAACACTGCTTGCTAGTTCACTGGGAAAATTGGCAAGAGTTTCACTAGGAAAACCTGACAATAAAAGTTTAGAATGATTGCATCAACATTGGCAACACAAAATACATCAGACCTAGCAAGGCTGCTGGTCAACTGCCAGTGCAGCACGGTCGGCCGCGTGCCAGCACGACTTGGTCGACCGCGCTCCAGCAGAGCAGAGTCGCGGCTTGCCAACGTTGCCAGTCCGCGGTGTACCAACGCTGCAGCAAGTCGGCTGCACAACGTTGCATCCGCGGGACAACGGTGCCCCAGCTTCGCATGTGTGTGCAGCTGGTTGGCGCCCAACTCCCCATCACTTGCCCAGCGCAGACACTTCACCCATGACGGCGCCCACCAGCCACGTCGACCTCGGGATACCACCCCCGAGGTCGTCCTCGCAGACAACATCCCCAGCGACTTTCGCGCACGTCGCCCGGGTATCCTGGTTGACCGGGTATTTCGCGGTCCTCCCACGGTTTCTCGGCCACCGTGGTCCTCCGCGGCTTCGTGGATCCACGGTCCCCCGTGATTTCGTGGCTCCCACGGTCCACCGCGATTTTGTGGCTCCCACGGTCCACCGCGATTTCGTGGCTCCACGGTCCCCCACGATTTCGTGGATCCCACGGTCAGCTCCGCCAAGCGAGGACGGGGTCAAAGACAACTCCCATTGACAGGGACCGCTACGGGCAGCGGGGTGGGGCCGCGAAGGGGCCGCGAAGGGGCCGCGAAGGATCCGCTAAGGGGCCGTGAAGGGGCCGCGAAGGGGCCGCTAAGGGGCCGCGAAGGGAGGCCACGTAGGGGCCGCGAAGGGGCCGCTAAGGGGCCGTGAGGGGGCCGCGAAGGGGCCGCTAAGGGGCTGCGAAGGGAGGCTGCTAAGGGGCCTCGAAGGGGGCCGCTAAGGGGCCGTGAAGGGGCCGCGAAGGGGCCGCAAGGGGGGGGGGGGCGCGACGGGCCTCAGGAGCAGGGCAGGCCGTTAAGGGGCCGCGAAAGAGTAGGGCAGGTCAGAGCGCGAAGCGCGCTTTGGGCAGGTTAGGAAAAAAAATTCTAATGGTGGACCCTTAGGAAGAAACGGTCCCACTAGGGAACCCGCTCTATACCAGGTGAGAATCACGAGGAATGGAATGACTAGGCAAGATGTGGGTACAAGTAGGAAACCTAGAAATGTTGGACCCTATAGTGTCTACCCCACTACAGCCTAGATAGAGCATAGCATATAAGTTTGACACAAAAATCCCGTGAATCGGACAACGCCCGTCCCACCGCCAACCACGTGCGCTGCACCAACTTGAAGCACATACCAATTGACTGGAAACCCGAAAGAATACCCACCGCGAAACTCTGATATCCGCGAACTCGCCTGGTGATATTCACCAGCGAAGCAAAGTGTATTTCCTCTCGCGTGTGCGTTCTGGGACAATCACGATGTAACGTTCTGCACCGTACTGTAACGTTCTTAGAATTTTTATATTGTTTACAACCTATCCGCGTCTCCGGACTTTTTGATATGTTTTTTTCTTTACCGCGAAAAATACCAGCTATTCGCATGACATCATCGATGTTCGTGTCAGCACAATTCGAACAGTGCAGGCGTTTTGCGGAAGAACAAGTTTTTCGCTCCACCCTGAGAATAGTCACGCGCGAAAACCCCCTCTGTTGGAGGTATAGAAAGCAAGAAATTGAGCTACAAAAACAAGAAATCCGCGAACTCTCCTGGTGAAATCCACCAGCAAAGTTTTCGCGTGTGCACGATTGTTGGGCCAAATATGAGTGCGCGAAGTTCACATTTCGAGCCGTCCTCCTAACGCACTTTGCGCGTGGAGGTTTAACTATGACTCCTGTTTATGCAAAACTATTTTCTGTGGCGGAATGTAGGCGTGTTCGCACTGATCGCACAAAGGTAAATCTTAAAATTACAGAGCAAATTAGGGTAAATCGGGGCTCGTTTCACGCTGGGCAGCTACCAAATCCACGAAGTCAAGTACGACATTTCCGCAGTTCCGCGTGTCCACAAGTTTTGGTGGCAAACACGAGTGGGAAAAGTCCAGAAAGTTAGCGCAAAAAATCCACACGAGTGTGAGTCAGCACAGTGGATACAGTCGTTCAGCTGAAGCAAAACATTTTGCCCCGTCGAGTGAAAGCCCGCCGTGCAGGGTCAATTCAGGGTAATTTGTGGCTCGTAGAAGGCGTGGTACCGTGGTTGACAAGCGGGGCGGAAAGAGAACTTCGTGAACACAATTCGTTCGCGCTTACACCCTGTGAAATCAGTGCGTAGTGGAATTTTGAGAGAGGGGGGCGATTTTCATGAGATGCTAACTCACTTTTCGTTATGATTTTAGAACATTCGTTTTCATCTTTATCTGTAACGGGGACCTCACACGGCTTATCACTGGTGTTTCGAGGCGAACGAAGCAGTGGTCCCCACTGCTGAGTCAGCGTGCTTCCCAGGAGCAGTTGAGGCCTCGTGTTCCTGGCAGGGGCCGAAGGGTCGGCCCTCCAAAATCACGCTAAGGGGTTGGCCGCGTGCCCCAGTGCTAGCCTGGGCCGCCTTCGCGTGCCGAGGGTCCGACGCCGAAGGCATCGAGGTTCTTCGGACCCCCAACTTTGGAAGAAGGGGCCCAGCTTCGGCCCGATTAGAGTGGCAGGGAATCGTAGCAAGATACAAAAATGGACACCGTCACAAGCTCTCCATACATTGTTTATTCCGTCCATATTATCACAGCTTCGTTTTTCGTCACCGTACATGAGCTCATAAATACTGTATTTGTTATTATAAGCGCAGGTGCACTAATAGTTGGGGGGGGGGGGGGGGGGGGGGGGGACAAGGTAGATCGATATTTACACTAAACGAAGTTCTATATTCAATGTATACACTCAAATTTATGAGTACACCAGAGCACTGACTTCTTAGTGTACGGTATTACAATTCATCTGAGTTGTCAACGTGTCTCGTGCAACGAATATATATTTGAGATTAAAATTATTGGAAAACGAAGACTACACTAGCCACTTGTTCAGCCAGACCCATGAAATATAGAACAAGAATTGAATCACAACAAATTGTATGCCACGGCTCTGCTCTCAATCATTTTTTGCTCTTCACGTCTTCAATGTTTACTCTCTTCAACTGTAATTTCATGATTCTTCACCTGTAATCTACTGCGACTCATAGCCAATCAAGCGCATCCCAAACGCTCGTGATGCTCCGGCTCCCTTGTACTACTCCCTCTCTCATCCGTAGTTCTTCGATCTGTAAGCCGCCACAAGCCTATCAAGTTCATCCACCAACTCCCGGTGCTCCGACCCCTTCTTGCTCTGCCCCTTGCTCTGCCCCTTCCCTCCCTCTTACTCACTCTCTCTTACCCATAGTTCTTTGCTCTGTAAGCCGCCACGAGCCTATCAAGTTCATCCACCAGCTCCTGATGCTCCGACACCTTCTTGCTCCTCACCTTGCCCCTCTCCCCTCCTCCACTTCCTCCCAACCCAGCTAATGCTGCCTGTGCTCGCCTAGCCTCCATGACTGCAGCCGCTGCTTCTCCTCTCCGTGTGTCTATCTTCGCCCTTTTAAAACCGAGACTTACTACAGAAGATGGAGAGGCAGCAACAGCTTTCAACGCAATCGCTGCTTTTCCCCTCTGTGGGTCTGTCTTTGGATTTTTAGCACCAAGAGTCACGGCAGCTACAGCAGCCTTCATAGCAGCCGCAGGAGAGGCAGCAACAGGTTTCACTGCAGCAGCAGGGGACACACCAGCACTCCCTGCTGCACCCTTCTGCTTCCTCTTTAACTCGGCCTTCCCACTGCCTCTCACCCCTCCCCATTCTACTCCACCCGGTGCCTTCACACCAACACTCTGCTGCTCTGCTGCAGCGCCTGCTTGCACCTCTGCACCCGCATGCCCCTTCACGTCCTTCCCAGGTCCTTTCCCGTGCCTCTCTTGCTGCTCCCCCTGCCGCTTTTCTTGCTGACCTTGCCCCTTCCCTCCATTCACCTGCTTCTGCTTCTTCTTTGCTGGAGAGCCCTCAGCATCACCAACAGCAAGTGCCTCGCCCTCCTCAGGCTTTCTCTTTGCACCCCTTGCTTTCCCCAAACCAGTGGCCCCAGCTTCATTCTGCTTCTGCTGCTGCCGCACTACCTGTCGCCTATTGCTCTGCTGCCTCACCGTGTGCTGCTGCTGCTTCACTATCGAGACATTCTCAATTGCAAACTCCACAATGGGGCGAGCGTCACGAGAGAAGATGGCTGAAAGAATGTAAGGGTGGGCACGGATGAAGGAGGGGAACGGAAGTGAGGGAGGGAAACGGATGAAGGGGTGGGGGAATGGACGTGTGTTGCCTCTGCTTCACTATCGAGACATTCTCGATAGCAAACTCCACTATGGGGCGAGCATCACGGGAAAAGATGGCTGCAGGTGTCATGAGAATAGGGGATGAAGACAGATGTAAGGGAGAGGCATGGGTGCAACAGAGAGGTATCAGAATGTGCTTCACTATGGAGATGATACGGATTGCAAACTCCACTGTGGGGCGAGCGTCAAGGGAGGGGACCGTGGGGGGGCATGGGGAGTGAATGGAGGTGCATAGAAGATGGGGATAGCAAGGCTGCATCAGTAAAGCACCGCACTGCACAGTACTTCACTGCACCGCACCGCACTGCACAGTACTTCACTGCACCACACCGCACTGCACTCACTGGGGTGGTTGTTGAGCGCCCTCAACGCCACTACAGCGTGCTTGCTCACTGAACTCAATGAACGCTGCTCCCTTTGCCTCTGTCTCATGAACATCGCAGCACCGCACTGCACAGTACTTCGCCGCACTGCACTCACTGGGGTGGTTGTTGAGCGCCCTCAACGCCGCTACAGCGTGTTGGTGCTCACTGAACTCAATGAACGCCGCTCCCTTGGACTGCGGCTTGCCGTCTGGCCCAACCCGGTCTGCTTCCCTCAGCACCTTCACCTGCAGGGAGGAAGAGGGTGAAAGCGACGGGCAAAAAAGCATTAGGAATAACTCATGGCATCTCATGACCATCTCATGACCATCTTCTCCTCATTCGTTCTGTCAATTGCGCATGTAAGGTAATCAACGCATACTCATTTATTGATGATCTTGTCCATGGTCTACACACACACAAACACACACACACACGTGCACGCACGCACGCACACGCACACGCACGCACACACAACAACAACAACTACAACAACAACAACAACAACTACTACTACTACTACTACTACTACTACTACTACTACTACTACTACTACTACTACTACTACTACTACTACTACTACTACTACTACTACTACTACTACTACTACTACTACTACTAGACTGGGAAGAGAGGAATGGGAGGAAGAAGGAAGTGTCAGATTTATATGACATAGCTACTGTAGGCTATAGTGGGGTAACACATATGGGGTACAGCTTTCTAGGGTTTGTACTTGTACCCAACTTTCCCTTAGTCAAAACATTCTCGTTCATTTTCTCATGGTATCGAGCAGGTTCCCCCGTGGGAACTGTTCCGAGGGCCCACCACCTTTTTTTTTCCTGCCCGGAGCGCGCTCTACACTACCCGAGTCGCGCTCCCCTCTCACGGCCCCGTCGCGCCGCCCTTTCGACCCTGTCGAGCTGCCTTAGCGGCCCCGTCACGTCGCGCTTGCGACCCCGTCGCGTCGCCCTAGCGGCCCCTCCACGTCGTGCCGCCCTAGCGGCCGCGTCGCGCCGCCATCGCGGCCCCGATCCGCTACCCTCGCGGCTTCGTCGCGTCGCGCCGCCCTCGCGGCCCCTTCGTGCTGCCCTCGCGGCCTCTTCAAGCCGCCGTCGCGACCCCCCCCCCCCCCCCTCCTAGCCGCCTCTACTGGCCCCGATGCCGCTCCACCCGGCCCCGACACTGCTCCACCCGGCCCCGACGCCGCTCCACCCGGCCCCGCCGCCGCTCCACCCGGCCCCGCCGCCGTCCCCACGCGGCCTCGCCGTCACCACCGAGCCGCCGGCGCCGCCGAGCTCCTGCCGAGCCGCCCGATCCACCCGAGCCGCCCGAGCCGCCGCGCCACCTGAGCCGCCCGAGCCGCCGGGTCGCCGAGCCGCCGGCCTGCAGTTGCTGCCGAGCCGCCGTACCGCCAAGCCGCCTGAGCCGCCCGAGCCGCCCGAGCCGCCGAGTCGCCGAGCCGCAGTTGCTGCGGAGCCGCCGTACCGCCGAGCCGCCCGAGCCGCCGAGTTGCCGAGCCGCCGAGCCGCCGAGTTGCCGAGCCGCCGAGCCGCCGAGCCGCCGAGCCGCCCGAGCAGCCCTGTCCGGTAAGAGCAGCGCCTCTGTCACTGCACTGCCGTTACCCTACTGTTCGCACTACTAGTCTACTGCTGTCATGGCTACCCCTAGTGTCCTCACTTTTGACGCTGAGGGTCGGGCCATTGACTTTGACGTCTGGGTAAATGACCTGCAGCTTTTCTTATAGTGCGATAGGGCAGACGGTCTCTCCCTCTTTGACCTCACCTCTGGTGCCACTCCAGCCCCTGCTGCTGATGCCGACGCCACTGTTCGCTCACAGTGGGCCACACGCGATGCTGCTGCACGTCTTGCTATGCGTCGCCACCTGCCTACCTCTGAGCGTGCGCACTTTAGTCAGTACAAGAGTGCTCAGACCTTGTACGACGCTGTAGTTGCACGCTACTCCTCCCCTGCCACTGCTGCACCGAGCCGCCTCATGCTACTGTACCTCTTCCCTGACCTTGCTGCCTTTCCCACAGTCGCTGACCTCATTACGCACCTCCGCACTAGTGACACTCGCTACCGCGCTGCGCTTCCTGCTGAGTTATGCGCCAAGAAAACCCCCCCCCCATGTACATAGTCACTTGGCTTACTGACTCCCTTTGCGTAGTCCGGGACCACTTCCTCTCAGTTTGCCCCACCACTCTCACCGTTGACCTCCTCGAGAAGGCCCTCCTAGCAGCAGAGAAGAGCATAGTAGATGTAGGAGCCTGTCGTGGTGACCCTCGCACCCCCATCTTTGAGGGGTGTTCCCCCTCCCCCCTTTTGCCCTCTGTTGCCTCTGCTGCTGCGGCCGACCTCGTTGGTCTTGAGTCGGTCGGTGCGGCGTCTACCCCTAGCGGGAGACGCCACCCTGGCAAGGGCAAGGGGGGCAGGGGCGCTGGAGGAGCTAGCGGGGGCGGTGGAGGCGGCGGTGGAGGCGGCGGAGGGGGTGGGGGTGGCGGTGGGGGTGGTGGCGGGGGTGGAGGTGTCGGTGGCGGCAGTGCAGGTGGAGGCGGCGGCGGCGGTGGCGGTGGGAGCGGAGGTGGCGGAGGTGGCGGCGGTGGAGGAGGCGATGGCGGAGGAGGTGGAGCTGGTCGGGGTGGCGCTGCGCAGAGGGTCGGCTCCGGTGGTGGTCAGCGCCAGCAGCAGTAGCAGCAGCGCACTCGTGACATCCCCCCCCCTCAGCAGCTCCGTGAGTGGTACACTGCACGCCAGCGGGGTGGGGGTACTGGTCCGTGCACCTACGTCCTACGCACCGGCGACTGCACGGGTGAGCAGTGCGGGGGTGCGCACTCCACCCAGCGCTGCTTTGGCCGCCTGACGGACGCTTGGCGTCACCAGTTCCAGGAGGCCACTGAGACACCCCGCTGGGGCCAGCTGTCTAGGGCGGGAGTAGCTGTCTTTGACCTTGACTTTGATGCTATTCTTGCTGCAATGTATGATGTGAGTATTAGTGATGAGGGTGACTGTTACCAGTGTTTTCCGCCCGACCCGGGCATGGAGACTGCTGCTCTAGGTACTGGTGAGGCTGTTGCTCTAGGTGCTAGCGAGGCTGCTGCTCTAGGTGCTCGTGCGTCTGCTCCCTCAGGTGCTGGTGAGTCTGCTCTCTCAGGTACTGCGTCGGCTTTGGCCTCCCACACCTTCACCCTTGACTCGGGGGCTTCTCGCTTCTTCTTTCGAGACCGCACCACACTCACGCCGCTTGGCCGGCCAGTTGCAGTCTCTCTGGCAGACCCCTCTGGGGGTCCTGTCCTTGCTCACTTCTCCACTGTCCTCTCGTGTCTAGCGGCCCCCTCTGGCACCCTGTCTGGTCTTTACCTCCCCTCGTTCTCTACGAACTTGGTGAGGGGTGCTGACCTACAGGATGCGGGAGTTCACCAGTTCACTCCTGCGAGTCAGCGGGTGACCCACTGCACGGACGCTCGGACAGGCTGACACCTGGCCACGTTTACACGTCGGCCGGAGTGGAGCCTATACACACTGACCACTGCATCTCCTCCAGTCACTCCGTCTGGTCAGGTAGCTGCGTCGGGTCAGGTGTTTGCTGCAGCATCCAGGTCTGGTCCTGAGTCTGCCCCCTGCTCGTGTTGCCTCCTGTCTCACGAGACTCTCCTCTGGCACCACCGCCTTGGTCACCCCTCCCTGCTTCGTCTCCAAGGCATGGCCTCCCGTGTCCTTGTCTCTGGTCTCCCCCGGTCCCTCCCTCCCCTTCCTCCGGGGCCTGGCCCTACCTGCGTCCTCTGTGTCGAGGGGCTGCAGCGGGCTGCCCCTCACTCCTTCAGTTTCCTCCGACAGAGGCCCCGCTGCAGACGCTTCACATGGACGTGTGGGGCCCGGCCCGCGTTCGTGGACAGGGTCACAAGCGCTACTTCCTGCTGGTGGTTGACGACTACTCGCGTTACACCACAGTCTTCCCCTTGCGCAGCAAGGGTGATGTCACTGAGGTGTTGATCCACTGGATCCGCGCAACTACTCTCCAGCTCAGGCAGAGCTTCGGCTCGGACTTTCCTGTTCTGCGTCTGCACTCTGACAGAGGCGGAGAGTTCTCCTCTGGCCTTCTGCAAGCCTACTGTCGTGCACGAGGCATCCGCCAGACCTTCACGCTTCCGGACTCTCCACAGCAAAATGGGATTGCTGAGCGCCGCATTGGCATGGTCATGGATGTCGCCCGTATATCCATGATGCATGCGGCTGCCCCCCATTTTCTGTGGCCGTTTGCGGTTCGGTACGCGGCGCATCAGATCAACCTTCACCCCAGGGTCTCCATGCCGGAGACCTCCCAAGCTTTGCTGTGGACGGAGAAGGTTGGCGATGCGTCTGCGTTTCGTGTCTGGGGATCTCGGGCGTTTGTCCGCGACTTGTCTGCAGACAAGCTGTCCCCTCGTGCTGCTCCTTGCGTCTTCCTTGGCTCCCCCCCTGATGCGCCAGGGTGGCAGTTCTACCACCCCACCTCTTACCGTGTTCTGTCCTCCCAGGACGTCACGTTTGACGAGTCGGTCCCCTACTACCGCCTCTTCTCCTACCGCACTCCGTCCCTCCCCCCGCCACCGCTCTTCCTTGTGCCAGGTCCCCCCCCGGTAGACCCCCTCCCCCCTCAGGGTCCTGCCCCTTCAGGTGTGTCCCAGGTAGACGCAGTCGAGCCTGTTGAGGTTACTGGTGACTCTAGTGCTGCTGAGGGTGCTGAGCCTGGGGGTGCTGACTCTGGGGGTGCTGAGCGTGTGGGTGCTACGCCTAGGGGTGCTGAGCCTGAGGGTGCTACTACAAGGGGTGCTAAGCCTGGGGGTGCTACCACTTGGGGTGCTGAGCCTGGGGGTGCTAAGCCTGGGGGTGTTACAACTGGGGGTGCTGAGCCTGGGGGTGCGGAGCCTGGAGGTGCTGAGCCTGGGGGTGTGGAGCCTGAGGGAGCTGGGCCTGCTCGTGTGGCGTCCGGCGGTGCTGGGCCTGGAGGTTCTCCGGGTGCTTCGTCTTGGCGGGAGCCACTCTCTCCACAGGAGCTGCGCGAGTGGTTTGCCCGGCGCTGGAGGCGTGCTGCTGGAGTTGGCGGTTCTTCGGCTGCTGAGGGTGCTGGTGCCGCGGGTCCCGGAGGTGCTCGTACTGGGAGTACTAAAGCTGCTGGGCCTGCGGGTACGACTGGAGCTGGAGCTGCTGAGGGTGTTGGCACTGGGGCTACTGCTGTCGGTCTTGGAGGCGGTCCTGCTGGGGGTGCTACAGGTGCTGCTGGAGGTACTGGAGCTGGAGGTGCTGCTGGCGCTGGTGCTGCCGCTGGGGGTACTGATGCTGT